GGGGTGGACTGGAGCGCAACGACGACGGCTTTCCCACCAGTGCTGCTATCCTGAGCCCGCTACAACTAGTGCGGAAGGCCCTGGTCGCGCTATGCACGCCTCGCCACACGCCCTATCGTTTGCAGGGATCATGACTGTACCACTCCACAACACGAAATTTTGAACCAGTTTAGAACGGTAGTCATCTAGACTCTATTTTATGTCGTCACTGAAGTGACGAATTCACCCTATTAAGTCGTTACTCTACCTGTCAGGATCTCAGGAGCCATCATGAGATCATTGATGGATCTTCTATTTATCTTATCTCCAAGTCATTTCGCCGAAGCTTTTATGTTAGAAATCGTCTTTATGTTCTGGTCAGCTCGAAAAGAGGAACTAGGCTGCATTCATACTTTGCGGCAGCGTCCACCGTTCACCAGCTACCATCAGCGTTTCGAGCGTCCGTCAGCGTCAGCGACTAGGAAAGTATAGATATCGATCTAGCGAGCGACATCGTTACCAGCATCTACCAAAGTCCACCCGGGTTCATCATCGTCCGCCAGCGACCATAAGTGTCTCGAGGGAATAGGAAAGTTTGGATTCTGAACTCTACAGCAGTCGGCTGCATTTTTATGTCTCCATCCTCTCTACTCCTCGTCGCTGATGGACGCTGTACCGATATCCACATTTTCCTAGTACCTATAGACGCTGATGTACGCTGGTAGACGGTGGTAAACGCTGCCTTCCGCTTGATCGATATCTATATTTTTGTGGTCGCTTACGCTCGCGGACGCTCGAATCGCTGACCGTCGCTGGTGAACGCTGCCGCAAAGCATGAACACAGTCTGAGCGTTAAGGTGTCAATATTTTGCTTAAGCCTAAGCGGTAAGGACCTCCGAGTCTGTGTAGCAGTTTGGCCACCTGAACTTTCTACTCCACATAGGCTCAGCCAGAGAATTTTCAATAATTGTAGTAATACAAGAAGTTGCCTCTATGAGTGGGTACTCTCTACCGGAATCTGTTATTAAAATGGACTAGCGCCACCATCAGAAAAAAATAAAATGTACCTTCCAAGTACGCCTCGCCCGCGAAGTCCTGTCCGACCGATTGGGTTGATTGGCCTTGACGTTGAATCAAAAGAGTAATCACTGAAATCCCGTGTATTTCTTGAAGATATCTTTTCACTGCTGAAAGAAAATTCAAAAGCTCTCTTACCCCATGTATGACTTCCTATTGACTTTTCCGTCAACCGCATTCCACCTGAAGTTGCCTGCTTGTATCTCAGGATCAGACCAACTTCTGCCTACCACCTTTGGGTCAGTGTAGTCTGGCGGGTTGTATTCCGGGAATGGTACACTCCATCCCAACTTCTCATCTGGCACTTTGCAACGGTAAACGTTGCTCCGCAAATAAGGGACGTCTGAATACTAACAACGTGACATAGAATGGTTCCTTTAACCGCTTAAGCATAAACAGAAAAGTCAAGGAATTGAAGTATCTAAGGCCTACCCGTGACACGACACTTCTTGTGAATCATTCGACTACCGCACACAAGATGATTCCAAACTGACATCAAGGCCGGTACACATCCAAATTTAGCAATACGACGACAGATATATTGCCCTGGTCGAAGTTACGTACCATACTCACGCGTTCACGACAATTGCATGAAAGGATGATAAATGATTAAAAAAAGTCATTCCAGACAGTTGTTTGATGGTTGTTAGCCCTTTGCTGCTATGTGTATGGTATCTGGATTTACTCCTAAAATCTTCCTACAAACTGTGTATTGCTTAGCCTCAAGCTCTAACTTTTAGAGTATGGTTTTGGAGGCAAAAGAGAAGGAGAAACTAGATGAAGTGGATCTCATTCTTGCTGCCGAAGAAGGACAGATCAAGCGAACTCGAGATCCAAAAATGTGCCACCACAATGCACGACAGAAATGCGCCCACTGCCTTCCAATAGATGTGAGGTTTTTTTTCAATTTTTCCTATCATTCGGCCCTGTATGGATGACTAGTTTACGTCATAAATCAAGCAACCATCAAAGACAGATTTAAACATTTGTGATGTGGTTAGATGAATTTGATGATTCGGGGATGTGCGTGCGTGTTGTGGCGACTTTGACGGGACCTGAGTCACTGAAGTTTGAGCGAAGAGATCTGAATGGTTGCACGTCTGATTTCGTACTTCAACCTACCCAGCAACTGGTGTATTTAAAAATGATTTTACCCGGTTGTAATCATTATCCATTTCTCACATTCGTGCCTTCACTGTGCGGTCTTGACAAGTTCACCTGTAGTGCACACCTTTCCTCGGACATGGTGGTCCAGTCGCAGCTAAAAAAAACATCAGAAGGGCGCAACACGCTTACGGCAAAGGCAGTGTTCCGCCGCCCACTGCCCCATATTACGCCCTACGTTCATTTTTATGGTCTATCTGATGATGTGGGTGTCCGCTACTAGCTGTTTCCATTTCGAATGGTGTGAGTGAGGTGATAAGGGGAAGAAGCTGATATCGTTATGATGCCAAGTGAAGGCTCATCAA